ATCCTTCATTTATGGAAAGACCCTCTTGATTCAAGAGAAAACTCCAGTTTTTAAGAAAATGGCTGCTTATCAATTGTTTGTCAATCTATAAGATATATATAACAACTTCAGATTAATTAATCAATAACTTGCATCCTTAATTTATACAGGAATGAAATTAATTTATATCTACTCATATTCATATAATTAAGCCTTTTAATGATTTGGCCGATGAATCGATTAATCGAAAAAATAATCGACAGATTAATCGATTATTAAAATATTGTTAGTTGCAGCCCTGATTGGCTAATGTAAAGCTCTTTCACAATGGCATATAGTTTTAGAAATAGATTTGATTTATAAAACTGAAATAAGTAATAAAACAGGTCCTCGTTTGGCTATTAGTCTAGCCTGGATTTTTGTTTTTTACTCCACACTCAGCGCTCTATAAATGATGTCACGGCTGATAAAATGGTAAATACTGATAACTATTTGAATGATCACTTAAAAAATAACCCTTTCCCTTTAATGCCTAGCAACCTCTTTCCAATCATTCCACCTCCACACACATTTAGCTCAAATATATTGTCACTAACACATAAATATTAGGTTTACATCAGTATTGTGCTTCAGAGCAGCTGAAACACAAACGCATTAAGAACTATTTGAACAAACAATCCTTTAACTCCGGTGAATCTGTGTTAACCTCAGTCTGTGGTCGGACTCAGTACTGTGTGTCGAGTTGTGAGCTTGTTAGCGAATCCTGCAGGAAAACTCCAGCTGTGTGTGTTTGTCAGAGAGACAAGAAAACACATGCAAGTTTTACGCCTCACGCTTGACTGGCAAGCTGCCCCGGACTCCTTGGTAACTCCGCTGTATCTTCCACAGATGTACCAATCCACCGATCAGAACCACCGACCCGCAACAGGAACAAACACGCAACACTCCACTCTACATGTAAAAAGCCTGGCTCCAACGACATGCAGGCAATGTCCACTATCAGGGATGGCTAGTTCACTAACACGTTTAACACCAAACCTTTGTGAAGCTAGGCTGAAACAAGGGGCGGTTAAAAAAAGGCCAGCGGCATGCACACTGCTAATAAAATCAAAAAGGGAAAAGAAGCCTGTTATCTTATTCATAACATAACTCCACGTTTGTCTATGCAAATTCACCTGACACTGCAAGCTTACAATATCCATGATCTTCAAGAAGTAGGAAAAACTGCATCAAGCTCTAACTCTATTACAAGTCAGCTTTATGAGAAAAATCACACAAACTATCTGGAATCTACAATCCTTTTCTAATACAATCTGCGTGTTCTGCAGAGTGAAAATCTCCCCACGTCAGTGAAACTCCTCTGCCTCCGCTCAACACGACAAAGATCACGCCACCCTGCTGCTCGCCCCAGTGCCCGTCTACTGAAAACACGTGCAGAACCGATTTAAACCCCAGTGGGGAGTAGATGTCGAAAGAAAAAAAGTTTTGCACCCAAAATGTACATCAATGACAGTGGTTCCCACATAGATCCCACCTGATAGGACAATGCCAGCACCGTCTGGACCGAGCAGCCACATGCAGCAAACGGTTGCAAGCATGTTTGTCTCCCCCCACAGCTGCAGGGGACCGAACCGAGCCCTAATGGGACCATGACTGAGCCAAAAAAGAAGCTTTAATGGTCAGAGAGCTACCAGGTCGCCAAACTGAACACCCAGCGAAGCCGTCTAGAGGCCAGTGAGGTCCACGATAGCTTTGATGAAAATGGTGTCGTCTCGGATGTAAGAGTTCTTGCCGTCGAGTTTGGAGAGCGGGCAGAAGAGCGGACAGCCGCTGGCGATGTTCATCTCACTCACGGGTCTCTGGAAGGAGGAGGAAGTGACATCAGGTCGAAAGGCATCGATGATGTGCTCCCTGTTGCTCTGATCCAGAAGCATCAGAGTCACCTGGAGGCAAGACACGCAAGAGATGGTGTTTAAATCATTCTGTCACCTTTTCAACATAACAGGGACAATGCACAGTAATGAACATGGGTTTGTTGTGTAAATGTGACCCATCATATCAAAATGAGGATTAAGTCAAATTTGGTCAAAATGACCTAATTACAGTTTCAGATTCTTGTCTTTAAAAGCTACATTTTGATACCTGGATCATCCTGATATCATAATTAAATCCATTTATATGACTTAATTTGTCTTGTTGGTTACAATAATACATAAATGTTTGGTCTGAATCCTAATTTTCTGTCGTTTTATTGAGGAATTTTTGATGTCCTTATAAAGAGGAAACCTCAAATATTATTTGAATATTGAGATTTCCCAGCTAAAAGAAACAGCTTTGCTAACTCACAAGAAAAATCTCAAAATTTTAAGGCGTTTTTCCTCAAAATCATTTTTCTTTGTTGCTACTGCTCAAAGAAATGCTTCAAAATGTTGTTTTATGATTATATTTCAGACAGTTCATTCAAATGATACATTAATAAGGCATTTACTCATTATATTTTGACATAATGCAATTTTTGTTAATGTTTTAGTCGAAACACTACATTTGCCTTTTTCGCCGTAAACAGCTTTTGGACTTAATCCTCGTTTCGATGTGATGGTTCACAAATGTGTCAGATTTAGAAATGATGGCTAATTTCATCTGGAGTCCCAGGCAGATTGATGATTAAAAAAATATATTAAAAAATAAAAAAGGGGGAAAAAAAACTAAAGTTCCAACAGAAGAAGGCATATTCTGGAGTTTGCAGATGATACCGTAGTTTTCAACTTGTTACAGGAAAAGGACTGAGATGCCTGCTCAGGTGGACAATTTTATTTAATGCTGTGAGAATTCCTTTTTTTAAGTGGAATCTCATCAAGATGTGTGATTTCAGGAAATTTATATTCACCGCTTTTATCTGTTACTAGAGGGGAGCAGGTAGTGTGTGTGCAAAGTTAGAAGTACCTGCTGTTCAAGGAGATATTCAGTGAAAATGCTGATGTGGTTTGACTCAGACTCAGTTTGTTGTCATTCAAACTATTACATTGTAAGAAGGAACAAGTTACGTAAAACTCAGTGATATGATAAAAATACGATAAAAATGATAAAAATATGATAAAAATGCATTCAAACCTGACATGAAATAATATGTTGTAACTAGGGCTGTCAAATGATTAAATTTTTTAATCTATTAATTCCAAGGTAGCTGTGAATTAATCACGATTAATCACAATTTATCTTAAACTTAATATAAAACTTTATTGCATATTGGTAAAATAAATTACTTGAGTTGTTAATTAATATCTTTATTTTGAAAAAAAATACATCGGTGCTTAAGAAATACATACAACAATAATAAGTCATGAAAACATCATCTCGATTGCACAAAAGCAACAACAAAAATAAAATAAGATAAAATCAGGACCTAAAAAATGCTCCAAACATATTTGAGTCAGTTAAATTTTGTGCAGAATAATGAGGTTAAATCAAGAATTCAAGGATTTTCTCTCCAAATGAGTTCTACATGAGGAATGAAAGGTAGATACTAAGGTCACAGTCGTCAGCAAAACATAAATAAATAAAAACTAGATACCTCACAGCAGTAACATAATGACCCCCGCACGCATAAATGCACCAGAACTCAGAAGTCTTTATTCCTAATAAATGTCATGCTATTAGGTGCATCCCAAAATTGTAGTGGTTTGGATGGGTTTTTTTTTTTGTGTGTGTGTG